ACGTTGAATTAGATGATTTGTCTTTTTATTGCTTTTTAAAGGCATATGATAACGCCAATCCAGATACATTTGGAAATCTGCAACTGTCAAATGATGAATTTGTAGAACTAATATTCAATATTGAAAAGATATTTCAAAATAATTTTAAAGAATTGGCTACAAAAAATAACATTTGTACCACACTTTTAGAATTAATTAACCCAATACCCTTTAGTCATCCATGCTAACGTTTTCCAAAAGAATAACTTATTTTATTGTATGTTTAATCTCAATAACTAAAAAATATACTGACAATTAGTTTGACAGAATTGTCATTTATTTAAAATTTTAAAAATAATAGCAGTCGGTTGATCAAAATATGAACGGTGATTGGCGAATTTATTTTTTTTTGCAGTGTTCTCACTACCTAGAATGGATATGAAATATATTCGTTCAATTGAAGGCAATAGCATACTTTTTCGTTTTGTAATCTGTGCATGGATATTAGCCAATCTATGCACATACTACAAAACGAAAAAGTATGTTATTGCGTTCAACTACGAATATATTTCATATCCATTTTAGGTAGTGAAAACACTTTAACAAAATTAAATCTACAAATCACAGTTCATATTTTGGTCACCCAACTCCTATTATTTAATTTTTTTTAAATAAGTGACAATTCTGTTAAACTAATTGTCAATATATATTTTAGTTATTGATATTAAATATACATTAAAATTTTTGTGTAGACTCGATAAATAATAGCATTTTTGTTTTTATTGTGTCCACATTTAAAAAAAAAAAAATTTTAATCAAACTACATGATACTAATTTAATTACGAGTATTAAAACTAAAGTCCTGAAAGTTTCGGTGAAGATGAGGACAGAGCATCTGCCTTCCACGCGAAAAGCCCGGGATCGAATCTAGGCCGAGGACTAATTAATTTTTCATGTTAATTTTATTTTATAAATTAGTCAACTTCGTAAATTATTTTAAAATTAGTTATTTTGTCTAAATAACCTAAAATAATTTTTTAAATTTGTAGATTTTCGTTAGTGGGTCGTAGAAAAAATATACTGACCATATCGAGTGGATTGTTCATATCACAATCAGACGATTGAGTACTCCGCATACGACGTCGTGTTCAAACTTCGTCTTTGTGTGATATTGCTATCATATCCACCCTTGTTGAACAAACTATAATTTATTTGTTTTCTTGGTTTAAACCAAAACTTAAGTTTTACATAAGAAATAGGAACTAAATTAATTTACTTTTCAAGTTTTCTTGTAAAAATCGATATTACTTTCTCCAAGTACAAATTTAGTACCTACCTAAAATAAGTACTAATTATGTAATATCGTGTAATATTGTAATTCAAATTTCACATTACTATAAAGTTTCAAAATTCCCTACTTCGGTATGGTCAGATAAAAATTGAATATATTATATTAATAAAAACTGTCAAAGTATTACTTCTACAAATCTGTATTTCAATTAATAAGAATACATCTAAATATAACCAATATTGTTAAAATAAAAGCACAAATTCTTTATAATTCCAAAATACCATAGAGTTCCCAGACCTCAGTCGAAGCATTCGTTTATCTAGGTATAAACCCTTTGCGCGAAGAGTAACACTTGCCAGAGACACGGGGTACCACTTGATTTGCATCCACGAGCGTGACACAATTCTTTAACAATTGAAGCCCTTGGTGTAAAAAGGATCCAAGCCACAATTTGTCGTGAAGTGACTGTTTTAGCTCAAAACATTTGTTAACGAGGATTTTACTAGCCACATACAAATTATTTTACCTCTAATCCGAAAGATGTGCTATTTTTCGTAATATTTATATTTAAATAATGTTTCTAATTATATTTGACAGATTTAAAACAAATTAAAAATTTAATTTCCCAAAACTTACTTGATATGGCATGTAACCAACCTTATTACGCCAAGGTTTTCAATTTTTTCAATAATAAAAAAATTGTTTAATCCGGGCCCGACTTTTCCCTCGAATCTAACAGAGATAGCACCATTCCGTATTGCTTGGTTCTCGACCGCCAGATCAAAGACGCCGACACGGTTGTGGAGCTGTATTGTATAAGCTGTGGTATAGCCACGGATTAACCACAACAGATGCGAAACCCGGCAAAAGATCAAAGGATTTTGAAATGAGATTTCTATGACCTTGGACCTTTAAATGGGTACGGCATAGGTGTTGCCAATTTTAATTATTTTCAATCAGTCTTACTAAATATGATTTTTTTCTAAACATGCTTTTTGGATGCCAGGGTTGGTTTAGGTAACTAATGTATAGTAGCAGCATTAGTATGTTAAAAAAGTTATCGATAGGAGTTTCATTTTTAAACATTTTAATAGAAAAAGAATATGATTTGTATTAATATTTTCAAAATTTTATTATAGGTAAAAAGTTATAACAAGCAACGAATTATAATGTAAAGGTTTTAAAACTTTATTAAGCGGGCTTTGTTAGACATAAAATCAAGTTAAAGACCTCCGTTTTCTCTTTAATGTGTTGAAATAAATATATTCGCAATTAATGGCCTATTGATGGAAAGTTAACGGGAAATTGCAGGCCTTTTATCAAATTAATACTGGCTGCTAATAAAGGCCATGTGCCAGGTACAATTCGATAGTGCCTCTTTGACCAGCAGTACTGTTTGAAGTATATAAAACCGAATGCATTCCAATATACCTAGAATATTGTAAACATTTTATTTAATTCAGCTATATAATATATAATAAAGATAAAATGTCTTCTAAAAAATGTATTTTCATAAAATAATCTAAATTAATAACATGTATGAGCAAGAAATTACAATGAATAGTGAGTACCATCAATCCCAAACTGGCCTCATGTCCACTCGTTGAGTATGTAGCAAGTGATCATCGGTGTCTTCATCTATGAACGCGGGACGGAACCCTCCTGGACTGTTGGATGAGGGTTGGGTCTGCGGCAGTTAAAAGCCTTTTGACTTTTACCTGGCTCTCACCCATTCATCAACCAACATAATGCTGGGCCACTATTAAAAGGACAAAAGTATTCTTTTATTTTTTAATCCTCGCATTCATTTTTGCTTCAATTACAGCAAAAGACCAGCAATATCCCGGCAATTCATTGTTTGTTGGGATACAATAGGTCAAGGCTTTCTTGGCGTGATGGACATTCACTTGGGCGATGTCGATGCCCGCCATTTTACTCTTCTTTAATGGGAGTGTTGTCCGCATCGGTGAGGGTGTGTTCCATATTCCCCTCTTCTGCTTCATCAATTTCTACATTCTCAGATGAGTCTATGCAGAGATTTGAGAGGTTAAGGCTCTCTATGCTCTCCACATCAGTCTCATCTTTGGAAGTACTAGGAGTTGGTTGTTGTTTCTCCCAGTTCCTTTATTGCCTCTTTCTTTTGAAGGCCGTGTACGGGAATTTTCCCGAATCGATAGTGGATAGTGCATCAATTATCCTTCATCCGTTGGCAGGATAGGTCATCTATTCCTAACCTAAGGATCTGGCCTTTGCCCTTGTCTTTTTGGCTGACGATTTTCCACAGTGTGGTCGATAGCCCCACATTCTGCGCTTCTATTACCTATAGAATCTTCTCTACAGGCTGCCCTTGACTTCTTGGGAGAAAGAGCGTGGCTGTATGTGCTTTCGGGATGTCGTCTCCCGCTCATAACTCCACTCCCTTCCAGTTGCTCAGATGTGGAATTTATGCCCTGAGCCGTTCTGCTGACTGTGGGGTTTCACAGTCGATTAAGACCATTCTTGGCCGGAAATGGATGCCTCCGAATTGGAGCTTATGCTCCCTTCTAGCGAACATCTCTTCTGCTATGGCTTCTTCCACCAAGGTTTGTTCGTTCGCACTGAGGATGGTCTCAGAGAACCCCTCAGAGGGACGTTCGAAACCGCTTTCCCAGCGGCCATTCAGCTTTCAGCACGTTGCCTTACACTTTGGCTCAAATTTTTAGAGGCTTCTTTTTTCACCTTCCTGAAAGTTTTTAACCTGTTTTTTAGTTAAAAAAAAAAAAAGTTGCTCAAAAATGAGACACCCTAGTACACATATTAAAAAACAAAAGGAAAAAATAACACTTAACCTATACTTGTTCAGCTGAAGTTTCAAAATAATTTCTTCTTGTAATCCTTTCTGATTTTGATCTTTTCTTTTTTTCTATAAATTTTTAAAGATGTCTTGAATGTTATGATTTCATTTGTAGGTTTAAAACTTACACATCCATTATCCAAAGGACCCTTATGTGAAGTGACGGTCAAATTTTCTGAAAGTGTGGTGTGTTATTGTACTCAACCTAGTAACCAAAAGTTTCAATAGGCTCAACTCAATCATATGACTAGTTTTCGATATACAGAGTGTTTAAGTAGAAAATTGCCTAGTTTTTGAAATTTTTATTTTCAAACTTACGAGCTAGGTTGAAATTCTGTTTTATACAAACTTTTACTACATATGTTTTAGTAATACATTAGTACATTAGTCACAGGGTAATTCACAAATGTATTACGGTATATAATTTTTCCAAAAACTCACTAATTTTGCTGTGACGCCAGGGAAGCATATTTTTAAAAAATTCTAAACAAAATGGTATTTTGGCAATAAAATATTATAATATAACAGATAAAATCTTATGGGTAATGTAATAATATTAATTTACTCGAAAGTCACTAAAGAAATGCAAGGTCGTCTTTTTAATAATTTCAAAACAATTATTTTGATCAAATAAAAGTTATTCTATACATGATTTCTCTAAAATGAACCGTAATGGAAAAATTTGAGGAAAAGTATAAAATTTTATTACTCAATAATTTTGTTGGCAATGAATACTTATATATAAAAAATGTTTAGTCAGATGTGTGTGGAAAATGTATGTATTTAGTTCATCTTCTAAACATTTACAGGAGTGATATAACGGAGAAAAACCTGTAATAACTAAGAAGAAAATCATGTGTCAAACACATTAGATTTTCATTACATATTATGACACTTCATCCAAATATCAACATGGTAAAATTAATAAGTTTGTTACATCAAGAAATTTTTAAAAAAACATTTGGTTCAGATGGGAAAGTGTATCACCCTATATATCCGATTATGTCAAAAAATGCGGAATTTATAAACAAAAATTCATCTATTTTTGGAATATTTCAAATTTATTCCTTACTTTTGACTCGTTTTCCAATTATTGATGATTGTCTATCTAACTGCCTCCTTGAGATCCATTTATATAAAATTAGTAAATAATTATTACAATATAAAATAAAAATACTAGTAATAGCTAACATTTATTATAAAGGCACTTAAAAGCTTAATGAACCAATATAACTATTTTTTTTATAATTTATATTGTTCTTCAATTTCTTTACTTTCCTTTTCGAGCTGCTCTAATCTTAACCAGGCTTGTCGAATTACTTCTTCTGTTATGCTATCCGAACTATCTGTAATTTCCATTTGTTTATAACTATGTTCTAAAATAAATTAATAACAATTTCTTTAAATCTATTTTTCATTAAATAATCTCTATATCCAACGATACAGAGAAATAGCATTAGAGGAATTATTTAAAAACTGCAAAATTAAAATTTAACAAAATTGGAATAATATATAAACAATTTTTTATCATTCAATTAAATATTTTAAAGGAAGATAAATATCCAAGAGATCATTTAAATACACTCAAAAATTAGTTCTGTAATAATGTTACTAAATATTTTAATAAAAATAAATACCACTTTCTTTAGGATTATTCTTACCTTTATTTGGATATTTAATGTCAATTTCTTTGGTATTTAAATTTAAATGGGATACAGGCCTATCTTCGTTCACTTTCAAATTAAGTAAACTAACTTTTTTTTGTAAGAAATGAAAATCATGCAGCAATTCATTATACTTTTTTTGCAAATCGGTGATTTCTTCTTTTTGTTCTGCGTTTTTCTTATACAGTTCTTGATTATCACTTTGTAACTGAATAAGCATTTGTTTGTTTTCTTTACATGTATTATCACAATGATCAAGATTACAACAGATATCCGAATTTTTTTCAGGTTTAGAATCATCCGTTTTACTTTTGTTTTTTAAGTTTTTTATTTCCTGTTCTTTTAAAAGTCTGTCTTTTATCACATTTTTCATATGATGTTTCAGTGAATTATAATCTCCTATTATTTTTAATAATTTTATTTCAGCCATTCTCTTTTTTTTCTCCATATGTTCAATTTGTTTGTCTTTGGTACTAAGAACGTTTTTTAATTTTTCTACAGTTTTGGTACAATTGTCTTCTAATCTTTTTATTTCTTTATTGTGTAAATTTTTAATGATTTCGATTACACATATTACTTTGTCTATAGATATGTGGGAATCCAACAAAACTGTACCTACTTCTCTAATAAAATCTGTTTCATGCCTTAAATCTGCAATAAATACATTATTAATATGTATTAATTATCCTAAAAAATACAAATATCACACAAACTAGCATTATTTTCGTTTTTTGAGCACATTGAATTTGTTTGCCTGACTATTTAAGTTATTATTATTCTACACATCGAATAATATATGTATTAAGCAAAATAAACATGAGACAATTATATTTGGATGTGAGAGGCATAAACAAAGTAACTTGGTTTAACTACAACCTATTGATAACAAGGAGGGGATATTGAGATCCACAGTCAGCAATGTATATAATACACATTCATCAAGGCTTTATACAAACTTGTACAAGATAGGTATACAGAAGTATACAAAAGTATTCTGTAGGCATAGGTAGAAAACAAGGAAAATAAAATTCAAGTCAGCAATGCTTTTGTATCACACAATTAAAGAGCCTGGAACATTGAAAGAAAAATTAAGCAGCTGTGCTTAGCAAATTTAATAAAGCAGGATAGTAGGAAGACAGACTTTCCTCATTGTTTCAATCAAACTCCCACCACAATAAATGTAATGAGTTTATATAGTCGATCATTCAAGGTGAGAAGACGCGCAAATAAATCTATATTTCTACCGATATAAACTAAATAATGTTAAAAAAAAACAACTAGTGAATTAAATAAAATGTAATAGTACTATAGTGTAGTAAATAAACTGTTTAGGTGAGTCACAGTTGCATAGATTAATGCATTATTTCTGCAATTTCACCCAAAATAAAATCTACCAAGGAAACAAAAAACGCAAAAAAGTACCAAACCTTATCAGATGACAAAAAAGTTTAGGTGAAATAAAATAAACACAAATACTTTCTACTAAGCAATCATACAAACAGAATATCCAGTAGCGTACCCATATTTAGCTTATAAAATAAGAAAATGATTTAATAAGAAAAATGGCAATGAAATGCTTACAGTGTGAGATTATTCATCAGTCTACAAAAGAACAAAAATATCCATGCTCTACATGTGATGGATGCAGATTATACTGCAACCAATGGTTTGAATTATCAACCACAGAAATTAGGTACCACTACGCACTAGAATTCTGAAATTTCATTAGGCAAAATGTAGGAATTATGAACCGACTGATTTTCTAAAGAAGACTAATGAAGATAAGGATGAAATAATAAGTAAAGATGAAATAATAAATAGTAAAAATGAAATAATAAAAATGCTTCAAGAGAAAATTAAAGAATTTGAAGAAAAAGTGATAAATATTGTACCTACCATTTCTTATGCTGATATGGTGAAATTACAAAAAGAAGACAATGAATGAAAACCTAACCCTCCAAAAATGATTATTAAACCGAAAATACCACAGAGTGGAAACAAAACAAAAACAGATTTAGGAACAAATATTAATTTTTTTTTTTCGAAAGTTTGAAGTGGCACAAAAATGCCAAAAATGCACTCAATGGCTCAAAACTTTTTTTTTGAGTACTCTATTGTGTCTAGAATACGATTACATTACGGAAAATTCTGCAAATATATTTTATCTAATTTTTACTTTCCTATCTGTATACAGATATAAGGAAAGTATAGGAATCATGATTTTTTTCGACCTCGAGTTTTCGACGGATTTTTACGTTTTGAGGTCCCCTGAATCCGTTTTGACTATTTTCGCGATGATGTATGTGTGTGTGTGTGTGTGTGTGTGTGTCTGTGTGTCTGTATAACGCATAACTCATGAACCGATACACGGAAAAACACCAAATTTCAAACTTAAGCTTTGTTCCAGCGTCTAATGAGCTGATTAGATTTTGGGCAGAGTCGGAACATCTGGGGGGGTACTTTATAGGTGGTCATTTTTATATTTTATGGAATATATCTGTTATTTACGTTTGGGGAAGAAAATTCTTCAAATGAAAGTTACTTCTTATTTTATTATCTATAATTTTTGTTATATACAAAATTTTCCTAAAATGGTCCGTATTCGCGAAATTTGACAAAATGTAAAAAAATATTTTTTTTTATAAAAATTGTTCAAACAAAAGTTGTTTGTAATATAATTTTCTATAATTTTTATCCTATAGATAATTTCTCTAAAATGGACCGTATTCGAGATATTTGAGAAAATGTGTAAATTTCGAAATTTGAAGAAAACTCAAAAACGGATAAAGAAAAAAGCATTAAATTTTAAACTTTTTATTTCGGCCTGACGTGAAATGATTAGATTTTGGACAAAGTCGGAACATCTGGGGGGGTACTTTATGGGAGGCCGTTTTTATATTTTATGGAATATATCTGTTATTTATGTTTGGAGAAAAAAATTGTTCAAATAAAAGTTACTTCTAATATTATTATCTATAATTTTTGCTTTATGAAAAAATTTCCTGAAATGGTCCGTATTCGAAAAATTTGACAAAATGTGCAAAATTCTGATTTTTATGAAAATTGTTGAAATAAAAGTTGTTTGCGATATCGATCTCTATAATATTTGTTCATACATGATTTTTTTAAAACGGACCGTAATGGAAAAATTGTAGGAAAAGTGCTAAATTTAAATGTTTCAGTATTTTCATTTTCAAAGAATATCTATAGAAAAATGTTTCGCGGTAGATGTATGTGGACAATGTATATATTTAGTTTATCCTCTAAACATTTATAGAGATGCTGCAATAGGTTGTACAAAATAACCGGAAAAAGCCTGTAATAACTAGATAGGAAAGTCATGTGTTGGACACATCAGATTTTTTGACCACTGTTCATTGAGTGACGACCAAAAAACACGGTTTTTGAGAAAAGTTGCCTAAAATTGACAATTTTTAGTTTTTTTGTCTGAAAATTAAACAAACCCAAATTTCATGTCTTCTAAATGTGTATACAAAGTTTAAAGTGTGTATGTTTCTTCTAAGTTGTAGAATTCTCCCGACAAAAGTCCCATTACACGCGCTCCGCGGGATCCAAAACTCGTGTATACACTACATTACTGTAATTTGATTTTTTTGCGTTTTCCAGTTTTAAATTTCTTACATATCTAAACTTATTAGGCTTAAAATTTATTAAATTGTATTTTACTGACTTGTTATAAGACGTTTCTTGAGTTTTGCGCAAAATATAGAATTACCAGATATTAGCGAACAAAAAGCAAGCTTATCACCAAGTTGGAACTTACACTCAGGCTTAGGATTAATTTCCTAACATTTTTAAAGTATACCTATTTGTGTATTTTTTTGTGCTCTTTTCGATGGCGAAGTTAGTTTTTTCAAATATATTTTTTTTGTTAGATGTTTTTGGAAAACCCGGAAAAAATCATATGGGAAAAAAATTAAAAAAAAAATACGCCTCTGGTTTCCTGCGAATTCCCGAAAAATTATGTCAGATTTCGCCGCGAGACTTATTTTATTTATCTAACATTTATAATTTCGCCACAAATTCATCGCAAATTTCATGTCCATGGTTCTGATCAAAAAAACGAAAAAACGACTTTTTGGTAAAAGTACTTCTGGCGGCGAGAAATTCGCCATTAAAACTACCTGTGCAATGAATTTCCGAACTATTTTTGCCTCCTCTTTCGAATGGTGCTTTTATTTTCACTATCGGAATGATACTTGCCCAGATAATTAGCATTTTTACAATGGAAAATTCTGGAAAACCCGGTTTTTTCTAATTTAAAAAAAAATGAAAAACTGCTACATCTTTTTTTTCTTTTTTTCGGAAAGATCACATCAAAATACACAAGGTCCTTTTTGTTTCATCCAATTACAAATTAATGTAAGCTCGAAGGGGCTTTTTTTCGTTATTTAATTGGACTACGAGTATACAGATCAATAAACATAACGTAACTAATATTTGTACACACATTCAAATAGTTCATGATTATTAATCAAGAAAATAATCTATTAAATTCTATTCAAATTGACTCGATTAATGAAGTCGTTGATGCTGCTAATATAACAAATAAAATTAATTTAAATGAAAAACTCCTAAATGTCTTACATTTCAATATTAGGATTATTAAAAATAATTTTGATGAGTTGTTAGTATTTCTAGAAAGTTATAAAATTAATTATTGTAATATAATAGTTTTGACTGATTAGAATCTATTTCTCAATTTAACCTAGATGGCTTCACCACCCACTATAACAATGGTAACATTAACAGAAATGATGGTGTTGTAATTTTGGTCAGGTTAAATCTAAATGCAGAACTAAATATAGTTAAACTGGAATATTCTGATATTTGTGTCACTAAAATAAATCTAAAAGTCAATCATCGGACCATTGGCATTACAGGTGTATACAGGTCTCCTCAAACCTCTGCACAGGCATTTATAAGGGATTTAGAAAATTTCATACCAAATCACCTAAATAGAAATATTGAAATATTCATAGGGGACATTAATATTAATCTCCTAAATGTAACCAATCAAGTAACTAGTGATTACCAAACAACTTTTTACTCCCATGGTTTCATGTCTTACATAAACACTATTACGAGGCCACAAAGTAAAACATGCTTGGATCATATATTCTTAAAAAACAATATTAAGACTGAAAATCTATCGGTGAACTCTTATGTAATCAGCTATGATATGACTGACCATGATTTTATTATGATAAATATCTCACAATCTGCCAAAAACTACACAAGTTCTGTGACGAAGTCACTAAAATTCCCATTAATTTATTCCATAAATTAATTTCTAAAATTAATTTCCGTCTATGAACTAATATTTCCATAGAATTACCGTTTTTAAACCTTTGCAAGAGCCCTCGTAGTTTAAAACTTTTCATTATCACAATAAATTAAATCATGTCTTAAAAATCGCAATTCTAGTAGGTTTATCAGTAAGCTGATCAATTAACGTTTTATTTTGCAAAACAACTTATTTCAAAGGAGTAGGAACTACCGTCCCCACTCCGGCAAAAGTACGACTTTTGATAAAAGTAGATGTTTTCGAGGAGAGAGCCCTTTTTCCACGACGTCTGTGCTCGCTTTTAAAAATCGTTTACCGAGTGTGCCGGATTCAGTTAATACCGTTATTCGTTTCTGTTTCGAGACAGTGAGAAGTTAATCAAGGTAGGCCTTTTATTTAAAATTCCGTCTAATAAATCTCCCTGCAACATTCATTTCCGTTTCTATTAATTACCTAAGAAATTCGACCAGTATTTTGGATTTCTTAGTACCTGTCAGGGTAGCAAATTGGATTTAGATCCGGGGGCATTAGCACCCTTCAACCATTTTCGCGTTAATGAGGGGGTGATAGTGGTATTCGCTTGCTTCTCCCGTCGAGAATCAGAGCTGTTTCTCTCTTGTAGAAGCTATGGACTACCAGATGTCTACATAAGAGAAATTTTAAACCGAATAAATAAAGATAAAATCATCAGTATTTCCTAAAGTATTGGTCGAATAATTCCGTTTTAAGTCACCTGTTATTTGGACTATTGTGCCTAGCAAAATAATATTGCGGGGAGGATATTAACCGTCATTCTTACAAAGGCAACCGTCATTTTTTTTTCTTTCATGAGAGCAGAGTGATACCGTTCACCGCCGTTCATAAATTTTCCATAATTGATTACTGAGAGTAAATTATTAACTTTTAATTTCTAAAACGTATAGTTCGAATCACATTTAATTTTACTATTGTAGATTTTTAGTTGTCCTATGATTAAAACCGGTTGTTTTCATTAGTAGGAAAGAATTTGTGCTAAGGGTGTTAGTGCCCACCGTTTTATTTTTTTAAAGAAAATTATTATTTTCGCATGAGTATAGTATAAGTCATAGTTAATTTTACCGTGATAGCGCTTTTCTCTTGACACCGAGGCCGTTTGTTTTATCAAGAATACATTTATTTCGTTTTTATTTTATTACCGTTGTTAAATATAAATATATACTAATTTCACCATAGCTCATTTATTTTATTTTACTTAATTGTTTACTTATTTATTTTATTGTTTACTTATTTATTTTATTGGTAAATATATTTTTGATTATAATTCCCGAGTTTAATTTTAAACTACCCTTTACTTTTTCCATTTTCAGAGCTTAGTTACTAATAGGTAAAAGTGCAGTGAACAATTTTATTCTTTTATCTTTACTTTATTACCCCAGTGTAGGTCAACTAAACAGTGAAGGTCTGGTCGTTTTATTTATTTTTTTTTGTTTGTACCTGGACTCCACTGAGTCTGCTGAGGGTGTACCCTAAGTGCACCCCAGGGCCGCAGAGTAGACTGCTTTACCAAAACTGGCGCCTGAGCAACCCTTGTTTGAAGAACAGCCTAGCGCTACCCCAACCCCTTTTCTTTATTTTTAGGGACGAAGAAAAGGGTCTCACAGTTCCTACAATACATATAAAACTATAACTAAAATCGATACTGATAAATTAAAACAAAAATTCGAAACTGTAAACTGGGAAAGTGCAATGAAAATAATCCAGAAATTGCAACACAACTTTTTTATGACATGTATCATTGAAACATGTCAAACCACTCAAAATATTAAAATTCAAATCTATAAAAAAATAAAGCCACGGATAACAAATGGTTTAATTAATTCTATTAAAACTAGGGATAAACTTAAAAAAGATCTACAAAAAAAACTATACTATTAACAAACAAACTCACTATAAAACATTTAGAAATAATGTAAACAAACTAATATCAAAAACTAAAAATGACTATTGTAACAATAAAATAAACCAAAACAAAAATGATCTGTAAAAACTTATCAATTAATCTCTGAAGCAACTAATGAAAATCATAAAAAAAATAATACCAATTTACAGATTGTTAACCAACATAATGAGGAAGTTGAAAGTGATAATGAAATGGCGAATTACTGCAATAACTACTTTTCAATTATTGGCACTAATATGTTCACAAATAGCCCTGAATGTAATGTGGATTTTCCTGTAAGTGTTACTGAAAAATCAATGTTTTTGAAACCGATATGCAAAAACGATATTCTAAAACACATAAATAGTTTAAAAAACAATAGTGCCCCGGGATTTGATTGTATAACAGTAAAACATCTGAAACTACTATTTTTTTTCTCTCGTTCGTTCTTTGTGAATAAACACACTTAGGTAATTGTTTTTTCTTTTCAAATGTTTTACTAGAATTTGCTTATTGTAAAAAATGTATTTATTGATTATTTAAACTATGTATAGAATTTATAGGGTTAGATGTAAGAATAGCCTTAGGCTAAATCTCGCCCAGGCAAATGTACCTATATATTTTTTGTATTTTTGGTATGTACAAATAAAGGCCATTTATTATTATTATTATTATTATTACTACTACTACATCCGTATTTACTGGAACCTTTAATGCATATAATTAATTGTATTTTTAATACAGGAATTGTACCTAAACAATTTAAAACTTCAATTATAACACCTATTTATAAAGCTGGTAATGCAAAATTAATAACTAACTATAGACCTATTAGTTTAATTAGTAATGTGGCCAAAATATTTGAGAAATGTGTGAAAGATAGACTTACAGATTTTTTAAAAACTAATGACTTGCTTCCCAAGCACCAATATGGCTTTACTGAGGGTCTTAACTCAGGAGATGCTATGCATGAATTGATTTCATATGTTACTGATGAAATGAATACTGGTAACAAGTGTATAGCTATATTTCTAGATCTAGCAAAAGCATTTGACACGGTGCCACATCAGAAGCTCTTAAATGTTCTTGAACAGAATGGAGTGAGGGGCATTGTGTTGAAGGTTTTTGAAAATTATTTGACACACAGACAACAGAAGGTAAAGGTCAGAGACAATGTGAGTAACCCTGAAAATATACAAATCGGAGTGCCTCAAGGGACTGTTCTGGGACCTATACTATTTAATTTATACATTTCAAAGACAGTGGCTGATCGACCTCAATTTAGAAGCTTAACATGTCAAAATTTAGACATACAGGAAACAGAAACATCCAAATATTTAGGTATAATTATAGACCAGCACTTAAAATGGGACTGCCATATAAAGCAAACAAACTTAGATTTCTGATTTATAAATTTTATCTTATAAAACAATTTCTCAACCAGGATCTACTAATAACATTATACTACAGTCTAGTAGAATCTATACTACAGTATAGAATCTTAGTATGGGGAGACCTGCATAGAACTACATTAAATCAGTTAAATGTTATTCAAAACAAAAATCTTGAAGTTTAATATATAAAAGAGATAGATTGTGTCCAACCATAACTTTATATAATTAAAAAATTAGCAATGTTAGATGTTTATATATTCATGCAGTGTGTTATATACAAAAATTAATTTTTAAAAAACCCTTTAGAACTTTAGAACATAGACATAACACTAGAACTGCATAGAGAATGTGCATTAAAGTACAAAAACCAAATAGTGAGTTTTTAAAAACAGTGTAAATTATCTAGATACAAAGTTTGATAACGCTCTACCTCTACATATAAAATTATTAAACAAATATAAAAAATTCTGTAAAGTTAGATGTATTAGTAGATGTCCTCGTTCAAATAAATAACAAAATAACTCACCAATGTAAGTTTTGGGTTTTAAATCAGGTGGTTCCTCATTTGGTTCTATAGGAATGCTCAACATGTTAATCAAACATGAAAGAAGTGGAATATTTTCATCATTATCATAATATATATTAAGGATATCTTCACATAAATAGGTTGTCTTATTAATCCCAATTAGTTCTAATATATTAACAATATTCTCTTTATCAAAATGTAGCGATTGTTTACCGCTTTCATTTACTAAATTATCAATGTACATGCTGGAGAGCCCAGCTTCTGTGTTAAATATCGAAAGAGAATAGTCAAAATTGTTTTTCATTAGAAATTCTGCGACAATTAAATTAATTGCTTGTTTTGATAAACTTATTGACGTCTGCGATGTTTTTTTAGTAATATCTCTTCCTATGGCGGTGTTTTTTAACACATTTATCATTTTAAACCTAAGTTGAGCTCTTAGCTGGGACAAAATTCCTTTCTCTTCGTACCAGGATGTTAACAAAGATTGGAATTCTTGAGAAGATATATTTGTAGATGGACTAAGCATTGGGATAGCTGCTTCAATGTTATCCATGGTCTGAATTTTAAATTTATTTCAAAAATATTCAATTTTGTGAGGCGAACATTAACCTAACCTGCAATAAATATAAACAAATATCTTCTTTTTAGTTAGCTTCCCTGCTCCTTAAAAGATAACCAGCAACATACAAGTGGCCTCGACCCTTAACGCGTCAACTCACTGTCAATATAACGTCAAATTGACAATTTATCGATTGGTTATAATTTTTATCAAATTGTTTATAAACTGTTAATTGTAAAGTAAATAGATCAACCGCGATCAAAATATACCTATGGCAGATGAAGGTAAGTGTGTATATAATTTTGGCATGTATTAAAGTGTTAATGACAAACTTATTTACGGATTTTAAAAGGGCGTTTAAGCCATTAGGTATACATATGACAACAAATCATAGTTTTAAAACACGGTATTTTATAAATGTATGTGGATAATGTGTTTAGTATACGATATTCTCTATAAAAATTTAAGTACAAGAGCTAAAACTCTATTCTTACTTTCATCGAAAATTTTATTATTATTAATAATAGTTTTTCGTGTAGATCCCAATTTAATTTTTTATTTTACCTGCTTCATGTTAGACCAAATTCTGTGTCTTCATATTCCAAATAAACAAAACTGTTTATTACAGTTTTCCTATAAAACTAAAAATATTTTTCCCCTCTTGTGGAATTACAAAAACCTATATTTTGATACCTTTCCTACCTTTAAGGTAATATATGTCACGCTCATTAAGAACGAACTATTATTAGAAAAATATGTTCTGTTTATATTCTGAAATGAGAAATTCTTGCCCAGTGTTCATTTAGAGAATATTTGTGACAAAAAACTCCACGAGAGTACTAACCTAGTATTTATAGTTTACCCTCTATGAGCATCCTGAAAAGAGCCATGTCTTGTTGAATTGGACCAATATACCAATTTGTACTTCAATTCTAATTTTTCACTATTAAAAACGCTTCATTGCTCTGGCTACTATTTGAAAGGAACTTTAGACATCAGGGTGCTTCAGGATCTAGGGTCCTAAAGACCCAGTAAATACTGGAGTGGCCAAATGGCCAGAGTTTCAGACCACAGTCCTTACTCGAGTTTTCTACTCAAGACTAGTCTATTTAAACCCAACCTTTACTTTTTAGAATGCCAAAATACAATCTTGGATAATTATCTAATATTTTAATGTGTGTTTTATTTTGAATATTTATAGTTAAAACATTAAAAAATACTTTTTAACATTTTTGTGAATTCTTTATATTTTATGATAATAATACCCTTGGTCTGACACTATTTAATTTCATAGTTTAATTCAAATTCTTCATTTACCACCAATATAAAATGCAGTAGGTCAATATACAATATGTTAACTTACCATTCCTGTCTCTAGGAGAATGGTATACAAACACAATCTTATTGAATAGGGAGAAATAGATAAATAATAATTGTAAGAATAATATCTGCAATATCCAAAATATAATTAAGTGTCTCATTTTTATTTCGCTTGATGCGTAGGTACTGTATAAAAATATTAAAAACACAAAATATAACAATAAAATTGCAAAAATAATAAGGGTACTTACAAAAAAGGTTTTTATAAAATGATATATGGAACAGCTTCCATATGTTCATTTTACAATACAATATCTTTACACAGGCTGAAGGACCTCAGTCAATGGCCTTTTGTAACTTTTAAGTAAGTCTCAATAAAGCACTTTTATTATTATTATTACAATATCTTTATTTACCTGAGAAAATATTACATTTTATGGCTTGTCAAATTACAATTAAAACTAATATATATAATAAAATTTACCTAAATATAATAATATAAAAATATAAAATTGAAATTTACAAACATTTACAACATAGTTCACTGAATCACTCAGAGGCCACAGTGACAGCCTCCCATCTGTATTGATTTAAATTCCTCTAAGCTATATAGGCAATTATTGGATAACATTTGTTTTAATGCATGTATAAATTTATCTATAGTCTGATTTCTAAAATTAAGTGATAGTATATTGTATAGCTCAATATAATATTTGTCCTTTCCAGTCTATACTGGATAGGGACTAAGTTATCTTTGTGCCTTGTATTATAGTTATGGATATCTGAGTGGGAAAAAAATGTGTTAATATTATTTCTTACGAATAGAAGGTTTTAATAGATTATTACTGCATAGAGTGTCATAATTTTAAGTTCTTGGAATACTGGTCTACAACTGGCTTGCCAAGAAGCATGTGTTATGGCTCTTATGGCTGATTTTTGCAAAATAAAGACTTGAGATATGTGTGTCAGCAGCATTGCCCCAACATATTGTCCCGTATGTCAAATGACTATGAAATAGAGCACAGTAAGCAGTAATTGCTGCATCTTGACCACATATTTGGCGTATTTTCCTGATAGCACAAACTGCTCATGATAATTTGGAACAAAGTGCTTCAATATGATCTGTCCATCTGAGATGTGGTAACAATTTGAATGCCAAGTGTTTTAACAGAATTGTTATTAACTTGTTCACTATTTACTGTAAATAATTGGGAGATAGTTTTTGTGTCATTTAAAAACAGGTCGTTTACAGAAAACCACCTCTTTGCCTGAATCATGACATCAGAGTAAACTTGATCATGATCTGTTCCTCTTTTAGTATTAATACAAAAAGAAGTATCATCAGCAAATGTACATGTGATAAGATTTTCAAAATGCATATGGTCAGGAAGATCATTAATGTATATCAAAAAGAGTAATGGACCTAAAATTGAGCCCTGAGGGACACCTTTCCTGATATGCATCAATGAACTTTTACAATTTTCGATGATGACTGTTTGACATCTGTCAGTTAAATAAGATTCAAAAAACTGTAAACAAATCCCTCATACTCCATACCTCTCCAGTTTTGATAATAGAATTGAATGATCCACACAGTCAAAAGCAGAGCTTAGATCTGTAAATACACCTAAACAGTTTTCAGCTTTTTCAAAACAATTTTCTATATATTGTATTAGAGATAATACTGCATCTATTGTAGATCGCCCCCTTCTAAAACCATACTGAAATGGAGTATGTTGGAAGAATTTAAATATGATATTAAATTATTATACATAATTTTTTCCAAGATTTTGGAGAATATGGGAAGTACAGCAATTTGTCTGAAGTTGCAAGGCTAAGAAGGGTCTCCTTTTTTAAATAGAAGACATACCTTAGCAATTTTCATGCTATCAGGAAATATTCCTTCAGTTAGACAAGCATTTATAATTATAGTTACAGGTTTAGACAAAAAAGAAATACATTTTTTCATTATAAATACATTAAATCTATCATTATCCTCTGTTCTTTTATTTTTTAAATCTTTTAAATCATTGAATTTTTTAATTGTGATATATTTATAAAGGAAGTAGCAGTTTCTCTAGATTCTGAAGCATGTTTTCCGCATTATTAATAAAAAAATTATTAAGATCTTCAGGAGTTAAATTTTCTGGCTTTGTATTTGTTTTATTTCGACCAATTTCTTTGTTAATAATATTCCACAAAGTCTTTGCCTTATTATCAGAATTTAATATATAATTATTGCAAAATAATAATAAAAAGTATACCTAGGTACTTGGTTAGTACATATTAATTATTTTACTATGCATTACTTAAATTTGTATTAATCTAATAAATTTTAAAATTGCCATTAATTAAATCATACTATTAATTAAGTTAATTAAGATGTTAAATTCAGTTGTATTCAGCAATTAGACGCTCAAACTAAATTTGAATATCTTTACATTTACCACTGAAACCATTATAACACGCGAGTCCAAGAGAACATACATATATGTCATGGTTTTATTAGCTTTTTCACAAAAAAAAATATGATGGGAGTGCCTTAGGTAGTAGAGGTAGCATTTGGTAACGGTAATATAGAACATCTGGAAAATTTCCCTAGAAATTTCAGCTTGAAATTTGTTAACTTTATATCCATTTTGGAGTATACACCAGAGATTTGAAGAAGCATCTCTAAAATGTATGTCCCAATAAACAGCTAGTTTTTTGAACGTTAAATTGCAAAATCCTAGTGTAAGATAATTATCATTGCACTTACAAACATTTCCATTTTAATCAGAAAAAGTCTACTTTCACATTTTCAATAAAAATATCCTGTGTTTGATGATCTCTATTTCGTTCAAATCCTACTTCTTTAATTCATCAATGTTGTTGTTTTGTGCCCTATCTTGAGTTCCTATTACAAATCCAAAAATGTAATTTTGTTTTTGGGTTTTATAGTGAGTTATTGTAAACTTTAATTATTGGTAGGGGAGCCAGTGACACTTTTTGGTGCGTTATTTGCAAAAGGAAAAATTACAAATATTTAATTTCATTTTGGCAAGTGTTGATTCCTGTGGCCAAAAATGACACCCAAGTATTTGGCCTCTTGGACAAATGGAATCTCCAATCCTTTCAGTACTTGTTACTTTAATTCTGTCAATACTCTTCGTTTTGTAAAGTTGACTATTTTGGTTTTGTGTGGTTTACTGTTAGTTCCTCCTCTCTGCAGGGTATTAGGGAGGGGCGCAGAGCGACTGGATCGACTGAAGACCCGACTAACCAATATCGCGGAGTCATTAAACAATTGGAACGATCCAAAGGGCCCCTGTATATTGCTACGCGAAGAGATATATGTAACCAATACAGATTACACAATTTCTGAAGTCAACGCGGATGATCCTCGACAGAAATGCAATATTTGGATAAAATTAAAATATTGATGCCAAGTTTGAGATGTTTTTAACTGTAGTAATGTTATTGCGTTTGCTTGAATTACTGTTAGGTCTTTAAATTGTCCAAAAAAAAAATAATGTCTGACAACAGCGGAAGTAGAGTAGACCGCAATTGTGGAGGGTCGTATATTGTTTCATTCATAAAAATTCCTTCGATACAGTACTAGTCCAGGAGCCAGTGAATTTTTTCGTACTTGTTTTCCCGGTCCGTGTATATTTAAATAATCTATTCCCGGTGAACTGTATATTTAAAATGGAACGCCAATCTATTAACAAAAGTAAGCCAGATTGAATTCGCGCATTACGTCACATCGATACAAGTGAGATTATTTACAAAGTGCATTTGCAGGCCTATTTT